CCATCCATCCATCCATCCATTGTTTCTCTTGTTAGTTTATTATTCATTCATTCACGCACATACGTTTCGTCTCATTCATCCGATAATTTTGTCATTCCCTTTGTTACTAATCCTTTTTATGTATCTATTCTCAGGAATCGGACTTTCAAAGATTCAAAGATAGCGATGTAAAACCCCTATCATCACGTTAATTAAAAGTTCGATTTCAAGTTTGTTTTAAAATCGCTTTAGATGTTTTTCCGTTCATGTAATAAGATGGTTTGAATTATCATGTTTTCTGTCAAGCAAGCATTACAAAAAATCACATTTGTCTATGAGTAACTCGATGATCTAATCCCACGCTCCTAATGCATGGCCTGAAGGGCTTTACTTCGGGTGTTCAAATGTTTACGTCAGAACTAACAAAACGTGCCAATATCTAAGCAAAGCACAAATGGATATTTACTCAATACTCAGCTTATATAGCTGTATGAATACAATCGCTAGACTTGAATGGCTTGCATAGTATAGGGCTAAAACGAAGCCAACATTTTGTACGAATGCGATTTTTTATCTCAAAGGAAATGACAAATGTTTTCTTTAATTATCCCCCCCCCCCATCCCTCCCGCTGCCATAAAATACCTTGATAGCTATTAAGAATATAATTAGATTATAAAAAATTCATTGAGAGCTTTTGCGTAAATATTTCTGACTTTTTGTATCTTGTCACATGTTAAGTTACGTGTCTGACATCTAATCTCGTACCAAAAATTCCCATTCCATAGGATTATAATGCGAATATAGCCTGACCTTATTAATTCGTCAAACAAAAAATTTAATCTAGAAAACTGAATAAAGGAAATCTCTCCTTGAAAAAGCCCTAATAGTCTGGCTGAACTAAGGACGTCTAGAAGCTTTCATTGTGTCTGTACCATCAACCTGGGCCTAGCTGAGAGATAAAAGACAAACGTGCGTCATGCGGTTAAGACGTCGAAATCATTCCCTTAATTCTCATGTGTCAGAAATCATAAACAATAATGCAAACCTTCTGATCTAACAAAGTACCATTATTTTACAGTAAACTGTACACTACATCACGTGATTTTCCCTTCTCATGCGTCATAAACCATAAACAATAATGCAAAGCTTCTGACCTAAGAAAGTACCAGTTTCACAT